ACAGAAGCAAAGCCCAAACCACACCCACTGCCGTGGAGTCCATTCTGACCCACAGCGCCCCTAGAGGACAGAGTGGAACTGCCCACAGGGTTTTCCAGGCTGTATGTAATCTTTATGGGATTAGACTGCCTTATATTTCTCTTGCAGAGCTGCTGGTAGGTTCAAACCACTGCCCTGTTTTGGTTAGCCGCCCTACTTTAACCGCAGTGCCACCAGAGCTCTTTGTGGTAAATAGACATGTCACAAAATGTTTGCCATTTCAACATTCTTTAGGTGAATCATTCAGGGACATTAATTACGGTTATTATTTTTAACCATCACTGTTATCCTCTTCCAAATATGAAGAGTGTTATAATGAACGTCTTCCAAGCATTGCAGAGCTCAGGACGTGGAAAGTTACCGAGGCGCCTCCGTGCACTGGCCTGTGCTCACCTGTCTCTCCGGCTCCCAGAGCCACAGACAACCCCGTGCTCTGTGCTATGTTTCTTTACTTGCGGGCTTATTATGTTTTCTAAGCTTTACAGTTGTCCTCTGTATCTGGTATTCACAAACAATTGGTGTGAGCTTGGGTTTTACATAAATATAATGTAGATACTCTTCTGGGATTTGTATTTTTCACTCGGTTTTATATTTGTAAGATAGATCTCTTGTATTTTGCAAAAAGTGGGTTTATATTGTACAGACTCATACTCATAGTGAAACCTGGGAGAGTCGGAACCCAACAGCAGTGCCTTGATGTTCTGGGTCTTGCAAGTTCTGCACCTTGGACAGGTGTAGCCTTTCCACTTGCCTGTTGCTCTGTGTTAAGGGAAGGTATTTGCGTGTTCTTTTGGTGACAGGTTTCCGCCTTGGGCAGCTGCCAGCTTTCACAGGCTTCCCTGTGTCTCTGTGCCACGTGTGTGCAGCATATCCTAGTGCAGTGTTTACAGCGGACGCTGGCGGGGTGTTTCGGCTTCAGTGGCCGGGTGCAATTGGACCCTGTCCCGTGTGCTGCCACGTTCATCACCACCCCAGTGACTGCAGGGCTGTCGCTCTTATCTAGCAGCAGGAGCAGCAGCCGCCGCCCAGGCCCGCACGTGCTGCAGCGTGACCCGTTTCCTCACGTGGTGGCCCAGATATAGAAAGAGTTGGGGCAGTTACTGCTGCAGTGGTGGCTGTCTGCACTAGGACAGAGGGGTGTGACCAGGCAGGGGTACTGTGGGGGAGCAGTGAGGGGCCCAGTGAGGGACTTCGGGGCAGGTTGTGAACCGTTGGTGCCTTGGCCTTGATGTGTCTTGGTGGGCATGGAGGGCAGGCCCGGGGCTGGAGCTGCTTGCTGCCGGCCTGTGGGTTGCTCTGCCCTCAGCCTTGCTCCTTGACGGGAGAGGTGGCTCTGCAGACGGTCAGGTTACAGTAACTCAGCTGCGTGCGTTTTCTGAGCGTAGGTCACACTTCACAGTGTCTGTAGCGGAGACGCGGTCTGCAATATGGGGAAGATACTGCTCCAGCGGCAGCAGGTGACATGAATGGTGTACGTGATAGTTTATTTGCAGGTGCAGTGACTGGATGGAAATGTGGGGGTGACTAGACAGATGTTACAAATTAAACTTACAGAAGTAATGCTTTTGAAATTTAAAAAGCAGATAGGCAGCTCCTCATTGCTTCAGGAAAGGCTTGATACTAAAAGATTTTTGTGGGTCTACCTTCACTTCTTAAAACTGTGATTTAATTTATAACTTTATATATATATTACATATTTGATATTTTTATTTTTATTGGTAATTAGATATTTTGCAGATGATTACTTTGAAATTTAGGTATTATGGAATTGCTGTGTGCATTTTAATTTTCATATTCTTTTTTATTTATTTACTAGTAAGTGTTATGGACGGAGGAGCTCTGGTGGCACAGTGCCTAAGGCATCTGACTGCTAACCAGAAAGTTGGTGGTTCAAACCCACCAGCCACTCCATGGAGGGAAGACAGGGCAATCTTCTTCCATAATGATTTACCACCTTGGAAACTCACTGGGGGTCACTCTGAGTAGGCACGGACTCGGTGGCAGTGGGTTTGGCATCCCCAGTGGAAGTGTTTCCGTGGGTCCATTCTCATTGTCTGTTGGGACACACGAGGGACAGGGCTGCACTGTCTGCTCTTAAGGGTCATTGTCTGCAGGGAAAATGCTGCAGAGTAGATGCTTGCAGCCAAGGGCTGTGTTCCTCTCCCTGTGCTTTGTTATGTCATGTGAGGGGTGAAAATAGACGGTCTTTAAATGAACACAGATTCAGTTGAGGCTGGAAGAAAATTAAAGACTATGCGGAATACGTGGTTTACGGGGGAAGGGAAAACTAGGAACTTCATAGAAAAGTAGGAAAAGCTGTCCATGTAAACACTTGATTATATTTTCGTTAAAGAGTAATCATACATGGTAATTAAAAAATATTCTTTTTCCATACTGTGACGGATAGTTCCACTCTGTCCTCTAGGGGCGCTGTGGGTCAGAATGGACTCCACGGCACTGGGTGTGGCTTGGGCTTTGCTTCTGTGAAGATTGACAGCCTTGGAGACCCTGTGGGGCAGTTCCACTCTGTCCTCTAGGGGCGCTGTGCGTCAGAATGGACTCCATGGCAGTGGGTGTGGTTTGGGCTTTGCTTCTTTGAAGATTGACAGCCTTAGAGACCTTGTGGGGCAGTTCCACTCTGTCCTCTAGGGGCGCTGTGGGTCAGAATGGACTCCATGGCAGTGGGTGTGGTTTGGGCTTTGCTTCTGTGAAGATTGACAGCCTTGGAGACCCTGTGGGCAGTTCCAGTCTGTCCTCTAGGGGCACTGTGAATTGGAATCAAGTGCATGGCAGTGGGTGTGGTTTGGGCTTTGCTCAATAAAGATTGACAGCCTTGGAAAACCCTCTGGGGTAGTTCCACTCTGTCCTTTAGGGTTTCTATGAGTTGGAATTGACTCAACAGCAATGAGCTTTTTGTTTTTTTAACGTTCTATTAATTTGTTTAGATTTACTGATAGCACTGAAATTTTACAGTATTAGTGATAATAAATGTTATAATTATAAAAATATAATTATTGAACAATTTCTATGAATTCTTGAAAACTCCAGTACTCCCAAGATTTAACTCAAATTAATTGCATTGGGCTTATTTAATTTCATGGGATATCTTGTGTTTTTCTTTTTCTTCCTGTTTTCTTCTAGATGGTCCCCGGCCATCACAAAAAGAAATTGTATCACTCCGGGCATTTATGCTACTTTTTCTGAAACAGCTCATATTAAAGGTAAAATTTTTTCCTATAATTCAGAAATACAGTATAATAGGTGAAAAGGAATTTTCAGCCTAGTTTAAAATCATTCTTGTTACATTAGCAATAACTTCCTGGGTTCTTTCAATGGGTTAAGTGCTCTACTAAACAAAAACAAAGCAAATTAAGTGCCGACAAGTCATTTGACTCATAGCGACCCCTCCTTGGGTTTCCGAGGTGGTATCACTATGGAAGTAGATTTCCCAGTCTTCCTTCTGAGGAGCGGCTGGTGGGTTTGAACCGACAGCCTTCTGGTTAGCAGTTAGATGCCTTAGGCACTACATCATCTACGAGCCTTAAAAGGTTGGCGGTTCAAACCCCCCCAGAGTCTTGGAGGTCAGGCCTGGTGATGTGCATCTGAAAAGTCCTGGAGTTGAACTACGCGTCGGGCAGTTGTGTGTGGCACGTGGATCGTGTGAGTCAGAGTCAGCTTCACAGCAACTGACACCTCAGTGCTTTATATTGAAGGGGTGCTTTCAAAGGTGGTCAATCTTAGTAATAACTTTTGTTGAACTTCACTTTTGATCCAGTCCTCCTGGAGGTCTTTCCTGTTAATGGCTGTATCCACGTTAATGGATAAGGCACCTGATTTGATCATTAACAAAATGGCATTCGGTTTTGAGAAGGAGTTGTTGTTGTTGTTGTTGTTGTTATGTGCCGTCGAGTTGGCCCCGACTCATAGCGACTCCTCCTTGGGTTTCCGAGGCAGTATCACTATGGAAGTAGGATTGCCCAACCTTGCTTCCGAGGAGTGGCTGGTGGGTTTGAACCGCCAGCCATCTGGTTAGCAGGCAAGTGTCTTAGCCACTATGCTACCAGAGCTCCCTTGAGAAGGAGTACATCATGTATTTTATTGCAGTACAAGTTTTAAAAGATTAAGATCAAGACAAAGGGAAATAAAGGTAAAATTGATGTTGTGAACTCTTATGGTGATTGGGCTTATTTTAAGGAAAGAGCAGATGGGCTAGAAAATAGTGCTGTGAGTGTAGAATGCCAGTCAAATCCAAGACACGTCAGAAACATAGATACAGCTTCCAACACTTATTTGACTTGAAATAATATACTCTGTGAAGCATGAAGTCTGGGGATTTTAATTAAAACATCACTAATTTGAAGTATTACTTATATCTTTTACAATCATTTTGATGCCCTTCTTAAATTACAGTCTTGATTTTGGATTTAGTCTAAAGTAATAGACCTCTTTTTTAACATTAGGATCGAGGAGTCAAGGAAGATGAGCTTCAGAGTGTATTGAATTACCTACTGACAATGCATGAGGTAAGCCGTGCTCGTGGGTTTTCAGGTTCATTTTTTATTGCAAGCTTTTGAGTAAGATGTCAACTAAATGAATATTGATGATCCTTATTATGCAGGATGAAAATATTCATGATGTATTACAGCTACTGGTGGCGTTAATGTCAGAACACCCAGCTTCAATGATACCAGCATTTGATCAAAGAAATGGAATAAGGTATGATTATAGCATTAGTATTGTGATTAGACTTTAATTGAACACACTGCTGTTTTCTATAAAAATCCTGTGGTGGAAACTTTTAAATAAATACAGTGAAGTCTTACATGTTGTTGTTATGTGCCATCAAGTCAGACCCGACTCATAGCGGGTGTGACGTGTTAGAAGGAACTAAATGGAGAAAATTGCTGTTCCTGCTCTGTGACTCAGGGGACCTGGTGACGTGAATGGAAATGGGTCTTGGGAACCCAGAGGAGGAATTAAGTTGTTTTTGCCCTAGAATCGACATTTCAGGTGAAGAGAGAACGTGGAAGTGATAGGCGCTCAGGCTCGAGAGATAGAGTGCCCACGTTTAGCATGGCCCAGCGCCTGGCAGCTGGTAGGGGTGTGAAATGTGTGAACGTGCCCGTGTGCTCAGACTTGCATTTGCATGTGGAGCCTGAATTGGGGAAGGACGAGAGGGATGTGGTGAGGTCAGTGGAGAGACCGTCGTTTCATTATCACGTACTGCAGGTGATGGGCTGGTGGTGGGTGCTGCAACAGTGTGCAACCTGGAGATGACAGATGGTTGCAAACAAGAAGCCAAAACCAAAGGAAGTGCATAGTAACTCTCTGCATCAGTGAAAACATGGTTTCTTGACTCTTGATTGTGATTTTCAAGAACAGAAGCCTACCTTAGCCTTACTGGGGTTTTTATTTGTTTGACTTTTTATTTTTCTGGAGTCTGGGTGGGTGAAGTAAGTAGGAAATCCGGGTTATGCCACTTGCAGTTAAATACACAGGTTACAAAAAACTGTCTGCAAATTACATGTCATTAACTGCTGAGGGACAGCAAAGGACCGCTTTCCAAACGTGAGGGGTTCCTTTCACGCCACAGAAGCCCCCCTTCATTCTGTGTGGTCATCTCGGTCGAGGGTCAGCAACGCCTTTGAGTTGACAGTGTAAGGGCCAGCTCACCTGTTTGAGGAAGAGGATGAAACACAGGAATTGTTAACAGTTGCCACGGTTTTCAGGCCCTTAGGTGGAACTATATGAAATACTGATGCCTGACTGACTTGGTAAAACAATGCCAATTTAATATAGTACAATTTGATCATATAATCCATTCAGTCTTCTGAAGTCATATTTAAATTGAAGAGTTAGAATTTAAGTTGTGTAGTTAGTATCCTACTACCTGCTTTGTTTATTATATTAACCAACCAGTGAAGTAAATTAGTCAAGAATGTCATCATTGTCCTTGTGTAAGATATGAAACTTAAATGGGTTGATAAAATGAAATGGAATTCTGAACTATTTTGATGCATTGAACCTATTATTTTATGAGAGTGCTGTATGGTGAGATCTTTAGGGTTGAAACTGTATTTAAAATGCATGGAATGAAAGAATTGATTATTAATAAAAATCCCATTGCTGTTGAGTCAATTTTGATTCATAGTGACCCTGTATGACAAAGTAGAACTGCCCTAGAGGGTCCCCAAGGCTGTCAGTCTTCACAGAAGCAAAACCCAAACCACACCCACTGCCGTGGAGTCCATTCTGACCCACAGCGCCCCTAGAGGACAGAGTGGAACTGCCCACAGGGTCTCCAAG